TTGGCTCAGCACTTTTCTCACTCACCAAAATCAGTTTAAATTTGCACGCTGGAGTGATTCGGTGCCTTGATCACGAATGACATTCATTTTTAGCTACGGCGCGATTTAATTTGGCGCCATTGAGCGCCAATTTGACGCCACAGCCTTTTCCACCAAAATCGATGAAAACTTGTATGACGGGGTCGTTCGATGCCCTGGTCACGAATACGGCATTCATTTTCGATTTGGCGCTTCTAAGGCTGAGCTGGAAGAAGGAATGATTTGCTCACGTCAGGCTCAACGTTGTAGTGTCCTCCCTCAGCGCCGGCGCCAAGAATGAATGTTATCGTAATCAGGATAACAGATAACCTCCGCTCGATTCTCGTCACTGATCGCTTCTTGGCGCCGGCGTCTGTAGCGGGCACCGCGGTTTTGGTTCAAGGGGGGCGATATTCGCGTTTAAGAGGTCAAAATACCTATGGAAATAAATTTTCAGCCAAATCTGCCCTCGTGAAGTAGGTGAAAAAACTAGCCTGAGTTCGTGAGACTGGGTAGTAATGGTTGGATGGTGCCGAGGATTCTTCTAAAACCTCTCGTGCCTTATCTCTCGAAGCCTGCTTGATCAATGTTGTGATTTTGAGTAACCGGAAGGCATCTTTTTTTCCTCTCATTCTTGGCCTATGTTTTCTTGCCACTAATCGTAATATTTTTTCAGTGTCCATTCGAGCCGGCTATAGTACCATGTCTTTTTATTCATGCATCTTTGTGTAGAGTAGCCTTTTTTATTCAACACTTTATCAGTTTCTCTCCCTGATGAAAGCCGTTTTCGCTTTCCTTTTACATTTGATACGTGTTAAACAATTGCTCATTAAGCCAAAGGCTTGAGCTGTTCGTGACATTTTTAGGAGCTTATCTCTCGCGGCTTTCTTATATCCTTGATTTCCGCCAAGATTTTTTTCTTTCGTGCATTTTTCGTTTCGCGTCGTTCTCATTTTTACCTTTTCCTTAAAGACGGTCAATTTTGCGTTTTATTTCAGTTTACCTTTTCGGCTGAGTTATTCGCGACGCTCCGAGAACTGTCCCGATCGTCGCTCGAAGTGAATATTTCAGTCTTCCTGATGAGCCAGTGATCCTACCCTGTGGACTGTAACTGATCTACGTGCAGCCACCCGATCAGGAACCGACAGTCAAGAACCATCAGTAGCTGTTTGTGTGTCTATCGACTAATTATCGATCGGCAGTTATTGAGTACTCGGAGCGATTTCGCTCGATGACCATGGCACATGTGGACAGTGAACGTCCAATGTCAAACGGATGCGAAAATAATGGCGATGCTATGCTTGAGCCGATGGACTTAAGCTCTCCTGTAAGTGTATTCACATTTTAAATGGATTTCGTTAAACGACCATTTATATATCTTTTCTGAAATCTTCAAGTTTTTTGAGGGGCTGTTCTTACTTTGAGTGGTGCAGAGGTACTTCCTTCTATTGGTGAAGAGGGAGGAGGGTGCTATTCCAATAAATTTATGACATTTTTTTGCAGACACCCAAGACGCTTGAGTCCGTGACAATTTTTTTTTCATACGGTGCAAAGATGCCGCTGTAAGTCAGGGGATGAGGTTTACTGCGTGAGCGTTGGATAAGAAGGAACTCCAGGATGGCTTGATCATTTCTGCCCCACCACACCGGAATAACGCTCCAAGGGAACCGTGAAGATTCAAATCAGACTTCATTTTCCTTCCATATTTCCCACCAATATCGGACTTTTCGTTGGTTGCACGAAGACTCACCTTCTGACAGGCTTTTTGACCTCAGTCACTAGAGTGTCCTTTCTGCTCTTAGGGCAGAGCTATACCTAGTGTTTTGGAAATCATGCTGAAGTCAGTGTTTAGTAAAAAAGCTTGTACTAATACAAAAAAATGCTTTAAAATGACACGGAAATGTTCATAACTGCGGTCTCCGCTGATTACCTCTCGCTGTGTTTCCGAGTGTAGAACTTCAACCTTCTCGAAATTTGTAGTCGAGTGGCAAGATTGACTACATCTCCCCCACCAAGATAGTTCAACTTCTTTTGCACGGACAACTTATTTATTTGGAGTGGAAACGTCGATGCCCGCAGCAAACACTCTAGGCCGCCTTTTCGCGGAAACCTCGCCTCCGGGATAAACTGGTCTTCCAAATACTGGTGGCAAGCATTTGGGTGGTGACGCCATTCGGGGTAACCGGGCTCTGCTACCGCCAAAAATTAATGTTGTACGCGATCAAAACATTACTATGCTCCCACATGCCCTAGTCGTACTTGTGTGCCGCGGCCGTGTCGTTACCTGTAGTGCAGACGGTGCAGGAGGGTGGCAATGCTTGCTAAGCTTCAATAGCATTTATTCTTTGCAGGATTCTATGTCGTAAAATAAAAAGTGCCATTTGGATATTGCACTTATTACATATCATCTCACGCGCAAACACAAGATTAGGGATGCATGTCTGGTATGTGTGGAGTAGCAGAGGGGCGAGACTGTGGCGAACGTTTCGGACCGCATAACTGTCGAAGAGTCCCAGAGTTGGGTGGAGAGGGTCTAACGTATTTAGGGGGGGGGGGGAAGCGCGCGGCACGCTGCTTTTATGCTCCCTCCTTGCCGACACTTGACTGTTTGGTTGACTCCAGAGGAAGCTCTTTCGAAGTAACTTCTCAACTTCAGCTCTAGAACATAAATTTAGCACCGTCGTATGGTGGTACTCCAGTGCACTTATTGCTGTAAGGGGTAAAAAGCAATTTTAAATCACTGGTGAGGATTTATGCCTATGCATTGGAGGAAAGGAATTGGCAAAACACAAAAGGGCACTATTCAACTATTACTCCCCCAGATTTCCGGAAACGGGCCGGATTTTGATCGACTTTTTTTACGGGAGTGAATTTGGCTGAAAGTTGGGTTCTAGGGGTAATTCGACCTCCTGAACACGAATATCACATCCGCTCTTCTCGAAAACGCCTGGCGCCCGCGCCACAGGCGCCGGCGCCAAAGTACCCTAGATCACGAAATCCGCTGAAAATTTGTACCTAGGGGTAGTTTGACCTCCTAATCACGAATATCACAATCCCTCGGCTTGAAACTGCTCCCTGTCCCCGCTACGGGCGCTGGCGCCAAAATGCCTCAAATCACTGGCGCCTATGGCGCGGGCGGAGGCAGTTTCAGGCCAAGTGAATGTGATATTCGTGTTCAGGAGGTCGAATTACCCCTAGAACCCAACTTTCAGCCAAATCCACCCCCGTGGAAAAAAAGGCGATGAAGATCCGGCCAGTTTTCGCAAAACTGGGGTAGTAATAGTTGAATAGTGCCCACAAAAGTCCTTCTAAGTTCCTTTTATGGCGCTTTTATAAATTAGAAAGACAAAAATTCAGCTTTGCTTTTCGGCGAATGAACTGCCCTTTATTAGTTGAAATGGAGCAATTTCTCGCTAGAACTATGCTGAAAACCTTTATGGGCTGGTTCAAACGGGTATGTGACAAGAGGATCGTAATTTCCGCGCGGCTGAGCGTCGCGTGCGACGTCTCGCCCGCAAAGGACGATGGTTTCAGGCGGTAGCTGGCGACGACATGTAATTAAGGACCAAAAACAGTAATGAGTGTCTACGATTGCGGGGTGTACATGAAGTCCGGTGCTCCATTCGACAGGTTAAAACGAGTTATGAAAACGCCGCGCCCGTCGCCGCGCGTTGCGGTGCGGCGAATTACGATCCTCATTACTGTCTCCCGATTCAAACACTATGTTGGAGAGGAGAGAGCAGAAGGTCGTGATCCCCCTCATCCCAATGCGTGAGCGTCCATAGTATAACCCTTACACCTCAATTCGATGTATTATTTGTTATCTATTTATTACACTCGTAGGTAACTCCCTGAGGGAGTTGAAAGAAAATTGAATTAAATCACTGAATTAAAACACTCTAGATATCGACAAAGTGACATCAGCAACGGCCATCAACGTCGTTCATAATGGGGGTGGGGGGGGAGGAGGTCAGGGACTGGCGGTATCCACTTTTCACTCTCTTTGCGACGTTAGATGAGTTCTGGTCGTACTGCTATTGCTGAGGGTCCGTTCATATTTGCATCAGCGTTCAAAACGGTCGCGGAAAACATGAATTCACTCTTAGCAAATAGATACTTGGACTTTATTAGCCGCTCAAAACGCTGTCGTACGCTGCGTAAGCTGGGGTACGGGTAATTTAAGTGTGAAGTGGTTAATGAGTTTCTGCTGAGGGACGAGTTTATCCAGGTAGTTTCCTTTTTGCGCATATCTTCAGACGAAAACCAAACACTGCTGTAAGGGAAGGGCAAGTGAATCGTAAATTGCCCCTTCTTCGCGCAGGCTATGGACACGACGTTGCCTTATGTTGCACAGTCCTTTTGATTGGAGCATCGGGTTACAAGTAGACAAGGGGATGGTTGACACTCATGTCTATTTTTGGTCATACGTTGTCTATTCTTGACCAGTATCATCTAGAATCGTCTTCATTAGCGGACGCGACGTCGCACGCGACGTCCACTGGTGCGGCGAATTGCGATTCTCTTGCCACATACCCCTTGGCTATAGCCTTCCTCAGTTGAAGTTTGAGAGCCTTGTCTACGGATCTACGTGCACCATCGTACATCGTACATCAGTGTGCGAAGCCATCAGGGGTTGGTTTTGCCCGCTGGGTGGAAGTGGATCCTAGCTTCTGAAGTCTGAATTTTTTTTCCGTTACTTTTGGTTTTTGAATTTTTCCTGTTTGAAACGCGCCAGCTTTCCAACAACATTAGCACCTATCAGCATTCGATGTTTAATCTATGTGAATAACTCCATGTCAAAGTGCAAAGTCAAACTCTACACGTCTTGAACCTGTTTTTCAGCATTATCCACGTAGTACCACACAGCAGGAAGGATTCTATACCCATCATTTTCACTATCATATCATATCTTTCATGCTCTCAATTCGTGTGTTGTCTTTACTTAAAAGGGTTGTTCAGTTTAATCTGATTAATGTCTTTAGATGCCCAACGGCACCCCTTCGAAGTCATCTCATGAATTCGCCGATGGCCAGTTGTCACCAGCGTCGCTGCGGCGTCGCAGTACTCGTGCCAGTGCTCTGAAAGCTCAAGAGAAGATTAAACTCAAAGATGATGTCGTTGTCACGACGAATGTGGATAGGGTATGTCTTCAATTACTTGAGGATGCTTATGACTGGTGCTTGGGAGGCGGGGGGGGGAGGGGAAGAGGTTCTGATCGTGCCGCGCATTTTCCAAAATCTGACTCGATTTAGGGACCATATACAGCCTTTCTTGCTGTGTATGATAGGCTTGTCAGCTCGAATGCGTTTGGCGCGGCGCCAACTTTTTTTTTAATTCCGCTTCCAACGAGACTGTATCGTATCGTTAGGATCAGTCGTTTTCCACCAGTTGTTATCACTCACCCATTCCAAAACTGTTGGAGAAGGGGTTTAGCGCTTTGCCAAACGCAGACGCGTGGGCACGCACCATCTTTCCCAGCGATCTAAACTGTGTAGGTGTTTGGTGTGTAGTGTGACATTTCTTTCTGCTCACTGCGTATCAGAATTTCCTCGCAATACAAATTTTCTGTTATGAGCTACTGTGGCCGTAATCTGCATTAACGCTTGTCTAATCGAGTGCCCTTTTCTCCTAAATCCGGCATTTTGGAAAACCGCACTGATTTAGGAGGATGTTGAGGAAAGTGGCGAATCGGCGCCAAAAAAACGACGGCTGCAAGTTGGATCCGGCTTCGACCAGTTCAGCCATAAGTTTGGACTGCGGGTGAGTGCAATTCTTCGTGAGGGACCAGTGCTCAGTAGAGACTTATTTAGATCATTATTCATCCTTTTTATTTACTAGATTTTTTTATTTAAAGGAAGCATATCTCCCTAGTTCTTTCTTGTTTTTTTTTCAATTCGACTTAATTGAGAAATGGTCTTCCTCCCTTTATTTGATAGTTATTCGAACGCAGCGTTCTGAATTTCTGTGTGTACCTCGAAGTTTACAGTGGAGGGGGACCTGGTAGGGTCGTTCGACTCAGCATATAGTATGCACTGAACAATCACCACCCGTTTTAGAGGATGTTTTGTCTAGTATCGGTGACAGTGCCTCACTCCCAATTTGACCAACAGAACAACCAGACAGTGTTGCTGAAGTGAAGGGAGCTGGTACATTTTTCAGCTAGTGCTAGAAAATACCACTGAAGCGTAATACCAGCCAGACATCTCCTATAGCATATTATACCCAGAAAGCTGTAAACTTGCATACTGGGGTTATTCGGTATCCCGATCATGGACATAACATTCGTGTTTGACCGTGACGCGATTAGGCGCCTATTGACGTCACACCGCTTTTCATCAAAATCGATGAAACCATGCTGTTGCTGTGGGTTGCTTGATGCCCTTAAACGATTACGGCGTTCATTTTCAACACCAGGGCCATTTAGTGCTCTTCTGAGGCTGAGCTTGGGAGAAGGAGTGATTCCCTTTAGGCCAGGCTCAGCCTTACCAGAGCGCAGAAGATTGAAGTGCCCTCCATTGGCGCCAGTTCCGAAAATGAGCTATGTTTGTAACCAGAGTGTAAAATAACCCCTGTATGCGAGTTTTCAGCTGGTTCAGTGATCCAGAATGACTTGATGCCGGCATGTGGCGCGGGCACCAGGCAGTTCCAGGCGGATGTGACGTTCATGTTCAGGAAGTCAAAACACCCCAAGAACAGAGTTTTCAGCCAAATCTGCTCCCTTAGAAAAAATGCGGTCAAACCTGGCCATTTTTTGGAAGAAGTAATAGGTTGAATAGTGCCCGTTTCTATATTGGCGCTTTCAGTCGCTACATCTCTTCGGACTGACAGAGCGAAGCTTTTTCAAAGTTTCAGCTTCAGTGACTAGAGTTCTCTCTTTATGTTCGTTACTCATGAATTTACCTATGGACTTTTCAAGGAACAAGATGGAAATGTGTATCCTTTGACGGATGAAAGCGAAGTGTCATCTTTACACGACAATGAGATTCTGACGCTGAAGGCCAGCTATGAAAAGGTTTGCTTATTCTGATTTGTCTTTCCCTTCGCTCCTATTTTCTGCAGGTCTTCGTTTGAAGAATAATTTTCAACTAGGTAATGAACTGTTCACAGAAAGAGTCCCAGTATCTGATTTTTCCGAACAATATATCAAGAATGTATCGTCAGTTAGTGCGCGCAACTTCTTTCGGTATCGGACTAGCTTTTGACACACCCACTCCTACTGGCTTCTCGAGCTCGTTCACTGTCTTCTCCTCGTCATCGTCCTTTTTTCGAAGTGATGGGAGGAGCCAAGGATGCGTGGGCTTTGTGTGGACGAATATTGGGAAAATGCGGCGGCTCGGACAATTCTCGGTTCTGTAGTGTTCCACAACTTTTACAACAGCTACAGAATGATTCGCGCGGACGCTATCGGTATCTACTAGAATCAGGGTACATCAGTGGGGGAAATGTCTGGTACTACTAGTGCGGCTTCCCCCTCTGACTCTCTCCTTTGGTACAACCCCTTTTCATACGCACAAACTATCTTACCAACTTTTACCTAGACGTTCCTCAAGCAGGAGAGGCGTACTCGAACACCTCCGAGGAGCCGTTAGACACCGCTGGGGGATAAGACGACCCTTAGTTCCGCCCGGGGTTTCGTCAACAACTCAGCATTCTTGTGATAACTTTACGAGCGCGAACTGCGGCGTTAAACAACAATTATCATTAAAAACCCTGTGATTAGTTTTGCTACGCGGCCGGCTAGAGCAAGTTAGCTTGTTGCACGTGTGCAACGGAAGCGGCGGTAATTGGAAGGTTACCACGAGCCTACCATGAGCCCTCCCCACTAAGACGAAATACGACCTGCGAAGGGGTTTCATTTGGTGATGAAATATGCTGGCTAAATTTTTTGCGGGCAGTGTGGATGCCGCATCTTTTCCATTCTCTGATGGACCGCTAAAGAAAAGTTTTCTTATTGGTATCACAACGAGGAGCCTGTCAGTGTGTGTTGATCGTCAAGAAGAGAGGGAAGTGAGCACTGGTTTTCTGACGTAGTCCGACCTGGGGGGGGGGGCTATGTCTTTCAGTTGATATCGACCCGTATCGTAAATCTAGTGGCAAGTTTACGTGCCACTTCTCATCAATACCCGCAATGTGCTCAACCCAGTTCGAGTTTGCCGACGGTCTAACGGAGACTGGTCGGTGTTCACACCCTTTTTCATTAGTGAGAGGGGAATCACAACCTGACACCTTTAACATTTGGTTTGAAACTGTGGGATACCATGAATTCGGGCATTTCTGTGACGTGCATGACCATGCAGTGAGACGAGGATTGTTGTCGTGCAAAGCGATTACCTCCAGCAGTAGAATACCCCTTTATTATTAAACACCGAAGGAGCGCGTCTCCGACGAGACATCGGTTTGGAGTCGCCGCCGCCAGTGAGATGTTTGATTTGAGACATAACATCATGTTCTGACATTCGGTCTTACCGGGCAATAAGTTAAGATCTTCCAAATCAAGAGCGGATACCTCGCTAGGTTATAGTTCTTCTTCAACTGTTAAGATTAGCGTAGTAGTGTGCACCTTCTTCATAATCCTTTTCTTTTTCTGCTTCATTGGAGATGTGTAATGTCGAGGGCAAATCTTGGAGGCAAAGAGCGTCAAAAATTCCCTAATACATGCTTTTGAATTTGATTTCTTTTTGTGTTAGCAACTTCGTCCTTGACTTTATGCGTAATGTGGAAATCCAAGAGGTGGAACGTTATGGTTAAACGCTTTTTAGAAGGATTTCAGTCAAATCTGATCATGTGTTCACTTTCTGATGATAGTCGTATTTGTGTTTTTGTATTTGAAGTGATGATTAATTACTGACTACGTTTTCAGCTAATAAGCAAAGAGCTGACACCGGAACAGCGGCATGAACGAACCCTTATGATTAAGCAATGTGAGGCTGAGTTGCGATTAGAGGAAGCCAAACTGATGATGTTGAAGAAAGTAAAAGCAAGTCAAATGTTGGCCAATCAAAAGGTGTGTGCTCTATTCGTGATTTATTGGTCTCGAAAATTAGTTTATAAAGATAACTTTTCGATCCTTGAGAATTTCATATCTTTGTTTCACGCTTTTATATTTCTAAGTTTCCCGCTTTTTCAAGCCGCGATCTATGTTGAAGCATCAAGTAGCCAAAAGTTGGCCTACTTTATCCAAGTTAGACAATTCCAGTACACTTTATTGACCAGAAAGTGCTTGTGGCAAGGGCGCAAGAAGTAGACGACTTGCATAGGAACACGTCTTCACACCTCTCACATTGGAATATTCACACGTACATCATGGCGAGTTGGAAAAAGTGGTCATTCAACCCTAGTTCACAAAACACGAGCTCTTTCGAACTGGATCCTGTAGCACCAGCTTGTCCTTTTCTTTCGATGGAGGCAGTGTTTTATTGCAATATTGATACAGGGCTATGCCAGTGCCTTGGTCCGCCATCTTCACACAGTGCAGTATGGTGCCACGGCCTTATTCAGTGCGCTTCGACCCTTGTTTTTTTCACCCCTGATGGACCGACACTTATTCAGAGCTTCAAATTTGAACCACGTTTTTCCTGTTCCGCAATTGCACGATGTGTCTTGAAATCATGTAACGAAGAGCGAAGTGTGTCTTCCTTGTGATTTGATGCGATAAGTAGCTTATCTGTATTTTGCTTCAAATATTTTTCCGTTCAGAGCTTGATACACAGTTTATAGTTTTGATCTGGCCAGTTGTTTTGAAAACCATACGAAATTTGGTTGTTGCAACAGCAAAAGAAGCGTTAACTTTCAATTCAACTTGCTGAAGTTCTCAGAATTTACTGTTTTCATTTAGCTTCATGAAGCCAAGAAGGGAGTCGCCCATATGTCACTTAATAACACCAGCGGTGCATATAAACCGCTAGTGGCGCCACCGTTGAACAAAAACGTCTCCATGCCTACCAATGGGAAAAGTATGTTTCATATTTACTTCTGGTCGTCACTTTTTTTTACCTCATATATATGCTTTTCCTATCTCAGAAGCTGTTAATTATTCAAATTGGCAACGTTCCTCTCAGAAGCAGTAATTTGTGTAATACGAAGGCTGCTTTCCAACACTCTCTATTTGTTACAAATTGACTTTCAAATGTTACCATCATTTATGCAAGAGGAGTCGGGAGAATTGAGTGTGTGATATCCGAGATAATCGAATAAGCTTATGCATCCCTTTCGTTCTGAGGTCGCTCATATGTTTCTAACCTTAGAATGGTTGTGACATTTTGAACGCTTTACTGTCCACTTTCCAATGTTCATGCCAGATTCTAACAGATTTTCCTTCGTTTGTCTTGAGTGAGGTTTTTTTTTCATTTTTGAGGGGTCATCTTTCATTTCGTCTTCTGGGGTAGTTTAACATGGCATTCGCAAAAAAAGGAAACACTCGGTGCCAATGTCAAAAACATTTCAAGCCATCGAAATTGCTGAAACTTGTTCCCTCTGGTAGTTTGGCCTACCTGTGCACGAATTTCCTATCCGCGTTGAGCGAATAGCGTTCGTTCCAAAACTAAGCCCATGCTAAGCTGATTCTGAGATTATTCCCTCCAAGCGGATGTAATGTTCGTGCTCAGGGGGATCTTCGAGGGACCCAATTTTAGCACAGCCCTGGAAAAAAGCTTCCGAAATCTGTGGAAATTTCTAAGAGCGGGACATTCAGTGTAATAGTACCAGGGTTCCATAATAAATCGTGATTTTCTTCCATTTATAGTCTCACCCGATCTCTGATGCCATGTACGAGTGTCTTCACAGTCCTTTCTAGAGCCTTTATAATGAAGAATGCTTTTCAATTTGCATCCATGCCCGTTTTTCAAAGCTGCTTATCTAAAACAAACTGTTAATTATCAAAGTGATCATTTCAAGAGGACTTGTGAACAACAGCTTCTCTAAAAGTGGTGATGGCCATGTAAAAGTTACCTTCTTTCAGACACGAGTTCGGCATCGCGGACGAATCCTGTTCTAGGCTTAGCTGGTCTGACGACTCAACAACAGCAAGAGGTAGGAAAAAGGTTTACTTTTGATGTACGCCGGGGGTCCGTAGTAAAGTATCTGCGGTGATACAAAAAGCTTAATTTCAGCTTCTTCGCAGCGCGCAGGCCAACCCAGCAGCCTTGCAAGCTCTGCTTATGCAAGCCGCAAAGAACGGACAATCTCCAGCTCAAGCACTTGCTGCTCTTTTCGCAAATCATGCTTCCACCTCATCACAGGTTGCCTCTGTAGCTCAACAAATGAAAGAACAACGTGCAAAAGAGGAACTTATTCTGAAGGAGCAGGCTGCAGCAGCTACACAGGCGAGCACTGCTGCACAACAGGTTAGAACTCTATCAAGGTTAGTGAGGAGGCTACTTTTGCAAGCACTGAATTTTTAGGCAAAATTGTTAGCAGCACAAACACCACAACAACGCGCCGCCACGGCAAGGCAAGCTTTTCGCATGCAAGCCGATAAGCAACTCATGCAGGTTTGTATTTTGGTTTATTCTTCTCGTTTTTTTTTCGCCCGAAAAGTGGGAGAGCGTTCAAAAATATAATAAAAAGCACAAGAATTCTTTGGTTTTCAGCAAATCACCGCTCCTAAAGCACCTCCAATCGATTTGTTTTTCATTCCAAACGGCTCGCAACCAGATTTTTGCTACCTCGTCGGTCTAGATCTCGTCGTTCAACGGGTACTCAAGGACAAGAACGTGTACAGGTGAGGAACGAAGAGTCCCTTGAATTCCTATTAACATTTCAATCACTTTTTTCATTAATCTCGTTACTTGCTGTCTCCTACATCTATTTCTGCCCATTCTATTTCAAATCACCATTCAGATCTGTTACCGAGAGACCATACGAGTGCGAAGAATGTGGCACAGATTTTACGCCTTCATGGAAGGCCATCGGCACTTCTTCCTCCGATATGCATCTCTATTGCGAACAGTGTGTACGTACTGCTCAAAAACGCAAGATTCGAACGGATCACTCCAATGTTTTGAAGAAGGCATATAACAAAATTAATAGCCAGGAGAAGGTCAGTTCCTCTCTGAGATCTTCTTCGAGGTCTACAGTCGATATCAAACTTGCTTTTTTTTCGCATTCTGTCGGTATAGTTAGGGTCGATTGCATTTACAGTGCCTTTTAGATGAATCAGTGAGAATTTCAATGCAAATTTAATGGTTTTTCTTTTTTTTAGGAATTTGAGAAGCAAATAGCTGACGGCAAGCTGGAGGCTGCACTTGCCGCTGCCGCGCAGGCGCATGCAGCAGCAGCGGCTGCAGCTGCGGCCTCGTCAAGTGCCGGTGCCTCGACTAGTCAAGCTCAGAATTTGAGCACGAAACCTAACCCCTTGCAAGGAACACCGCAGCGCAGTGGAACCAGCACGCCAACTGCCCGTAAGGCAGCGACTCCAGTAAGAGATTGCCCTGCTTTTCTACCTATTTAAAGGCTTTATTCACTTTTTTTCTCCCTTGGAAACATTGCTTTTTGATTCATCATTTTCACTTCAGGTTCCACCTCCTACGACGCCTTTGCCGAAAGCTAGTGCAACGTCCTCATCTTCGACCTCGAATCCTTCTTCACTGAAGAAATCGAGTAGCGCTCCAGGATTGAATATGGTATGTATTTATAAGACTCGTATCTCTAGTTTTTCTTTCAACTTTATTTTATAAGGTCTTTTTTAATACCAACACTTGGATTGTTAGGTTGTTGGGAAATTTGAAGAGGTGTGATCGATAATGTGAGCAGTATACCAAAGGTATCACTCTTCCTTTCCTCCGCTCACCCTACTTCCACTTATTTTGCAGTATGGACCGGAATTGCGTTCTCTACCAACCCTCAAACATAGCCCTCGAACTCTTTCTTCTTACCAGTCTGGCTCAAGAGGTGCTAAGGCTAAAGTAAGGGAACTGCATAGGGACGATGCCCCTCCAATTATGGGTGTATTTAACACGACGCCAATGCATAGAGCGGAGCCAGCTTTTGTGAAATGAAGTCTGGATCTCCATGTCCATTAAACTTGAGCAACCTGCTGGTTCTAGTCCAAAGTTACCCGTTACACTGGCGAGAAGCTCCGGCTAGTCAAAATCGAGATTGTCCAACATTGCGTCGCGCCTGCGTGCAATGTGAATCAATGGCACCCATAAGGTAGGTCCTCAAAAACTGCCAGGAACCTTAACATTCTCTATGTTTTGATTCTATCCGCTCGCAATGAAACCAGAGCCTTATTTCGCAAAATGTGAATAAGCTTTCTCGCCAACCTCATATTATGAAAGAAGACCTCTAACGTTCTTGAGCTTTCCGAATATTTACGAAAAGTTTTTTTTCTTGTCACACGCTTCATTTCAACAATCTATTGAAAAACTATTTTCAAGGCGGCAATGCAACAGCAGATGGCAGCCATGCAACAACTGGTTCGCGCTAATCCAATGATGGCGATGGCAGCAAGTCAAATGGCTGGTGCTGCTGCTGCAGGCAACCCTATGGCAAGTATGATGCAGCAGGTGCGTAGTGATAATCAAAGTGACGCCTTCTATTCAACTGCAAAGATGTCTCAAGTGACTACTCTTTGTTTAGATGTGGAACCCCATGATGTTGCAGGCAGCCGCGACTCAGATGCGTTTGCAACAGCAGCAAGCACAGCAACAGGTGATCTCAAGAAGCTATTTTTGTTTGGTTTGAGAAATTTTCGTAAGAAATTGGAGTAGTTGTTTTCACTCTTGTGCGCAAGATTGTCCGGTAATTCTCGCAGTTTTCTCCGAATTTTTCGAAGGTTGCTTGATTTGAAACGGTATTGCTAATCAAGGCAAATCCTGCGATATACGACACCCATCTCAGAATTCCACTCCTCTGAACACCCCTCTCCCTCACCGCTCCACTAATTTTCATCTCTTATATTGAAAAGAACAATCATAGGTAGTAAAATATTTTGCTAGGCTCTGCATTCCGCTTTGAAATCGAATCCATATTGGGCAATATGGAACGGTAACCATAAGGCTCAATAAGGCGGCTATGATTTCCTAAATATTTTTGGTGCAAAACTTTGCTGCAAAAAATAATCTTATTGGGTCTTTACAATCTTTACTAAATAATCTTTAAATAATCTTTACTAAATTTACATAATGCTGTGCATCTCTTAGACTAGAAAGCTTCTAGGATCCACCACCGTTCTTCGTAAGCTTCTATTTTTCAGGCAAGTCAGCCAAATATGGCAATGTCGATGCTTGCGCAGGCTGTGCAGCATGCGCAGTCGTCAGGATTATCTGGTCAAAACAATAGCGCCATTGCTCAATTAGGTGATTTTTCGATGTGCTATTTGATCATTAATTTTTAGTCTGAGTTTGGCTCAGGTGTCATTGTGAAGGGGTGCTGTGGAAAAGTTTGGCTCAGGTGTCATTGTGAAGGGGTGCTGTGGAAAAGCTTATGGAAATGGTTTTGGAGTAACTCATGAGATCTCAGAGAAGAGTATTGATACAATAGGGTACGAAGAAAAAGATGCGTTGAAAGAGTGATTCCAAATTTAGTGGTCGCTTAGGTTGCGTCCATACTTCGCCTCAACTTTCACCAACGAATCGAAAAGTACGGATATCGATCTAGCACGCCAGCGTCTACCAGCGTACAGCGAACGCACTTATTTGTCGCCAGCGACTGGTCCCACGCGCGCGCAACTTTGAATTCAAACGCGCTGTGTGCATGGCACAACACTCTGAACACCGTAATCACTCCTGGTCTATTATATACGAACGAACGAATAAACTATGTACTGAATGGATAACCTGGTGCTAACGTAGTTGGGAGGGGCCAAGCGGCTCGCGGCGAGTGATGACTCATCTACTCTTCTGCTTCCTCTCGGCAAAAAAGAAATAATTTCATGTTGAGGACATGGATAAACACCGTCCTAGCTATATTCAAAAGCTAAATCAGTTAAGGCTGAAAAGTTCGAAGAAACCTGTTTTAGGCTGGAAGATTTTGCCTAAAATACGAACGGTTGTTGCTTTTTTGTTGATTGTGTCTATAAAAGACCAAACATTGGTGTTTTCAACTTCTGTGGGATTTCTCAGCAAGTTTCCGGTGAATCTGTTTGTTTTATTCTAATTTTGCTGCTAAATTAACGCTCCAAGTATGTCAATGATGTAATATCCGATGAGTAATCACTCGCCTCGAGGGCGCGTGGCCCCTCCCAACTACAGTCGTCATCCTTGCACTTGATAGGGGCGCGTCGGCGAGAAGGAGCGTGCACACTGTTTGAAGTCTTCTCAGCCTTTTCGTTGAAACGCGTATGCGACAAAAAGTGATAGAAAACGAGTAACACGAAGGATATAATACAGTAATGTCACTCTCTGGTTCAACGATTGGTGCAGTACGGGTGCTGACGACCGCGCCGCACGCAGCCGCACTGACATTGACTATCAAGTGCAAGGATGACGACGCTGTACATTAGCACCGATAACCTTATTTTCTCTGATAGTGGGTAAGGCGCTGCTCCAGAGACACGGTGTCACATGCTGGAATCCACACAAGTTGATTATATCAGTTTTTCTAACATTCTCTTTTGACTACATTCTTTTTGCCCCTGCATGATCCATCAGAACGGCGATCTCATAGGTGAGTTTTCACATTTCCTGAATTCTAATATTTGTGGATGCGTCGCCATTTTCTCCGTGCTCTCTGTTTTCGACTCATTCTACAATACCCTTTCTTGACCTGTCTTGCATGCACTTTATATGTCCCCTTCACATTACCATTGCTTTGTGGCGTAGAGAATCATCAGGTTTCTGTCATGGCTTCCGAGATATTCGCGGGAATGTTGTTACGCGAACCCTTCGGAAATTCACGAGATGACCTGAGGTGTTGAGCAAAACTTCTTTACAGCGTTCAGACTTTTAAGCGCCACGCCGCGTACAGCTGTAGCGCTACTGTACCGAAGTCCAGCTAGATGGCGCCAGTGACACAAACCAATATAATACTCGTGATCACGACCCTCGGCAACCCCCCACACCCCATCCTCCCTGAAAAGGAAGAGGGGCTCAGGAACACATAAAATGAGAAATGAAGGGAAAGGGATTGAATTCCGAAAAAAATGGAATCTGGACTTCGGTACAGTAACGCTACAGCTGTAGCGCGGCGTAGCGCTAAAAGCTGAACGCTGCCTAAAGAAGTTTTGCTCAACACCTCAGGTCATCTCGTGGTTTCCGAAGGGTTCGCGTAACAGCATTCACCGCGAATATCTCGGAAGCCATGACAGGAACCTGATGATTCTCTACGCCACAAAGCAATGGTAATGTGAAGGGGATATATAAAGTGCATGCGAGACAGGTTCAAGAAAGGGTAATGTAGAATGGATCGAAAATGAAAGCACGGAGAAAATGGCGACGCATTCACAAATATTAGAATTCAGGGAAATGTGAAAACTCACCTAGAGATCGCCGTTCTGATGGAACATGCAGGGGCAAAAAGAATGTAGTCAAAAGTGAATGTTAGAAAAAAGTTATAATCAATTGTGTGGATTCCAACATGTGACACCGTGTCTCTGGGAGCAGCGCGCTTCCCCACTATAAGAGAAAATAAGGTTATCCATTCAGTACATAGTTTATTCGTTCGTTCGTATATAATAGACCAGGAGAGATTACGGCGTTCAGAGTGTTGTGGACATGCACACAGCGGCGTTTGAATTCAAAGTTGCGCGCGCGTGGGACCAGCCGCTCGACAAATAAGTGCGTATGAAAGCGCCCGCGAAAAAGCTGCTGTACGCTTTTGAACGTGATCAAAACCGCCCGCGAAAACGCAGGCATACGCTGGTGGACGCAGGCGGGCGCTCACGCAAAGTAGAACCCAACCTTATGAATAACGAGAGGTGCCACGTGAGAGGGAGAGGACGAGGGTGGCTCTGGAGTAGTATGAAGAGAGTGCGTATGAAACAAAATTGCATAGAGACAGTCAAAATTCGTAAAAACGATTCCTCAACATTTTGTGTTTAGCTGCTGCAGCTGCAATGAATCCGGCGTTGATGAACAATCCGCAGTTACTACGACAAATCCAGCAGATGCAAAGCCGTGGACTGATCGAATCACTGCAGAGGAAGAAGTAACGATGACTGCGGCTTTGCCATCATCTTATCGATGTCGCGTTTCCCGCTACAACTCCTTTGACAGTGACGTTCCACGTCTCCTTGTCACAGGAGCGTCTCGGTGGTTTGTCGTAAGGTGCTGTCAGACGAGCGTCATTTGGTTGTTGTTTGTTATTTTGTTTTTTGTGCTTCTCGATGTCACTCGATATGACCGTTTCTCCATCAGTTACCTCTTCTAATTCTTATTGTCTATCCCTTTTTCTTTCCCATAACGCAGAGCTTGCAGCACATTGAGCTCAAGCCTATGAAACCGCGATATTTGGAAAATCACGCGCGAAACACATTTCGATCAGACGTGTCTTGTTGCCGTAGTTTTATTCGTTAATATTGATCCATTGTGATCGTTACAACATTATTATATATTACTGGTAGCGGGTTGTTATCTTTCCTAGTTTACAGATATATTCACAAGATATGGCCGTTTTAGGATGTATCATCAGAGGTGCGTGTCTTTTAGGACGCTCCTGTCCTGTTCGTTTAATTGAGGGTTGATCTACGAGTAGAAGGGTGGCTGCTGCTTCGGTTGATTCATGTACTCATGAGCAGTGGTTAAATTCTCTGATCACTAGAAGCAACAAGCACTTTAAAGAGCTCGCCTTTGTCACCTTGCAGAATTCTCATTACCGTAGCGCAGCTCGTAAGATGGATCAATTTTATGTCAGTCCAGTTGTGGTTCACTTGATTTCTGTGTCAATATTTCTTTGCGTTTTCTGCTACCCTTCTTCTTCTGTACCTTCCCTCCTCACTCTCTTCTCTCCTCTCACATGGGTACTGACAGGATTGTGTACAGATCGGCGTGGATCAAAGTTTATATGATGATGAAATGAGGCAATATTGTTGTTGCACTCTATGGTATCGTTATATTTTCGCTGCCTTCCATTTTTTTTGTCTGTTTGTGGCGGTCTCAACGTCTTTAGACCTCATCTTGGTGCTGTGCTTCTAACAGGGTCAATGCTCTAACGATTTTAACAGCACTGATGACTGAAATTTCACGAAGTTGACGTTGAGGGTGTTATAGAAGTACTCTCAATTGCTGCTAACTATTTCATATAGCGTATCGTGAGAAAAATGGTTTTATACTAATCTCATCTTTGGGCTGGGGATGTACTCCTGTGTAATATGAGGCGCCAAGTGCGGCGCTGCGACAGTCAAACGTATCCGGGCATTTCCATAATTCCTGCCTGGTCCTTTTTCGAATTGTTGCACGGAAGCTCTTATTCTTTCTTATCAAATTGAAGCGTTTCCTCTTTCCCGTTCCTCTTCGGTATTTTTTCTGGAAGTGACTTTTTGTCTAGAAGTGTTCATTTCTTGTCTATCGTACGTTTTCTGTTACGTGCACCATGTGTATATTTCATTCACACGATATCCCCGAGTTTGTGATCTTTCGAATGTGAATGGTTGGATACGCGTTTACAGTCGTGTAGATTTGATAATATAATTTCCTTTTGTAATGAATGGTTTATGTTGTACTTTATTGGCAGCTTTTTACTGCGTAGCCGAATAGGACGATGACGAGACGATAGGTATTAGGTTATCCCATTCAAAAAAGCCGTGACATATAGAGGAATGATAGAAAAGCAAAGGGGATAGGGAAGCGGGCTAGTATACCATTTGGAGGCTATAACCTTCAGCTGTGTATCTGTGAAATTTGGCGAACCTACCCACAGAGGAAGCTCTCGAGAAATCGAAAAGAAGCCCGAGTGGTTAAAAACAGCGCCCGATTTTCAAATCAGGCCCCGGACCAGTAGTTGTGTGTAATGGTGTTCTCGAAATACAAGTGAAAGGTTTGGTTCAGGAGCCCGAAGAAGAAAGAAAGGAAAAAGTTGTTGTTGTGGATGGTCCCATCATGTTCATCCTGCACAAGAAAAAAGGGTGGATGAAGTCAAGCGCTGAATGTCTGATCCCAGAGCCTGGACCTTTGTCGAGCTTCCGCGCGAGTCTGACATCCCAGCTGCAACTGCTGCCCGAGTTATGTCCAATAAACTGAGGATGGTCAAGGGGGTGTGCGCATGGGTACCTAATTTTCTTGTGGAGGCACGAACGCAGTACCGATCCTGTACCAGTAGCAGTAACCTCAGCATGAGATGTCATTCACGACTGTGAAAATGCACCCCGACCTCAGATGAGAAATATGGGTGGTCTTGGACCTCGAGCCGAAACTCACAATCGTCAATTTTGCATCAATGCAGATGAGAAGCCGCCCAAATTCTACCATGAGGAATTACGTGGGTGCAAGTGGATAATCATCATGGCGAAGGATTCCCACAGTGTGGCTTTCAGGCAGCTTTATACAGAAAATAAAACTGGCTCTGTTGGTGTATATTGCCCGTGGCAATCAGACCGACAAATTGATGATACCACACAACTACAAGAAGGCTTGCGTTGCTAGTTATAGTGCCGAACCCCGAGTAACTGTATTATAGTAAAAAGGTTCGGTGGTTCGCCAACTTTGCTCACGATAGGAGGTCCACCAACACCAACAGGCGCACAACAAGTTTATTCACCACACCTCAAACTTGGGTAATTAAACTGGTGCAGAAATAGTAAAATAATCAAGAAAGACACACACGATAAGGCATTCTTATCAATCGCATAGTAATCCCAGCACTATAGTCAAACAAGAGATAATCTTCCCAATTAGAGATACAAGGAAAAAGGCAAGGCACATGAGCGCATCATCAATCCTAGAAGAAACTTGAGCAAATACCAACGTTTTATTCATATTATTCTGCGTGCGGCGTTTGACTTCCGCTAGATGGCCGCACATTGGCAATAATGCGTTGGAAGCTAAAGTAAAGCCCTTAATCAGATCAAGAAAGTCCAACATCATTCCTCTCTTACAAGACAGTAATCGATCAAGAGATCGCGGTAATCGAGATACTTCCCGGCCGCGGTCTTCTAGTTGTGGAAAGGCGCATTTCGTGTTCCAGGAAATCGATTCTCTGATAAGTGTCTCGAGACTACGCCGTGCCCTTGCTAACCTTTCCGCGACTTCCTCACTTCTGTCAGGTAATTCGCATAAGGCGGAATGATGATCAAATTCCCCGCAATGGAAACAACGCGCATAATATTTTGGACATAGCTGTCTTCCTTTACAATTCTCCAGGCACTCCACACATCTATCTCTGTCTTCAATCATCTGGCGGCGTTCCGTGACAGATGTTATTTCATCGCATGAGTCCGAGTAGTGTCTACCCACTGATCTGCAGAAGGCGCAGCGCATAAGTCTTTCCGCATTGTTGCTGATTGCTCCGTACCCATACCTTCTTGGCGGACAAGTGGGGTGCTGGCGCAATTCGTCGATGATTAGGCGAAGATTATCGCGGGCTTGTTTTAGCTGTTGGAGTTCCTGTTGAATATACTCTCTCCTGTTGCCGTCCTCCTCTCGCAAACGTTCCCGCAAGTTTGGTGGTTCCTCTTCTTCATTTGCTTCGGCCTCCTCTAACTCGACTCCTTCAAGAAACTCGACATTCTCCTGGATCGCCTCTCTTTCTTGGTCGTGCATCGCTATGCCCTCCGGCCCGAGTGGAGGTTGTTGCGCTTCTTGGTGTGGATTCGCAGGTGCTTCCGGTTCCTCGTTCTCATCAGCGACGTCTATTGCCTCCTCGTTCTGAAAATTCACGTCTGGAGCGCTACGTTCCTGCAGGTCCTTGGCGAGCAAAGCAGAATCGAGCGAGGATTGAAGTTTTGCAACAGCTTCTGACATCTGCTTCCTGAAATCGAAAGCAGTTTCTCGGTCCTCTTCCATGAGTGACGTCCGTATTTCCATGAGGGATTGGTGGTGGTGTGTGAGCTGTTGGAGTTGATCCGTAGCCACCATTTCGATCTGATCTGGTTGAACTAGAAGTGGGAGACCCATATCGTTGCGGTGGGGCCGATCCATCCATGCGTCCCATATATCCTTTGTAGTATTTCCCGCAGCGCACAACAGAGCAGGAATTGTAAATAAGGTGCGGAGTTGGAATCGTGTGAAGGTCATCTCAATGCGCAGATTTTCCACAGAGAGTTCCAGCAGTTCAACGTTATGGAGACGGTTGTCGTAGCTGTCGCTTGATCGGCGGAGAGCGTTGATGCGGTTGTTCAACTCGGTCACTCTTGTAGTGCAGGAGTTGAAATTATGGCAAAGTTTGATGATGTTTTCATAAAGTCGCTCTGGTTCGGGGAGAGGAAGGGCTTGGCGCAATTCCCGGCCGATGCACCATAAAAAGGTTCGGTGGTTCGCCAACTTTGCTCACGATAGGAGGTCCACCAACACCAACAGGCGCACAACAAGTTTATTCACCACACCTCAAACTTGGGTAATTAAACTGGTGCAGAAATAGTAAAATAATCAAGAAAGACACACACGATAAGGCATTCTTATCAATCGCATAGTAATCCCAGCACTATAGTCAAACAAGAGATAATCTTCCCAATTAGAGATACAAGGAAAAAGGCAAGGCACATGAGCGCATCATCAATCCTAGAAGAAACTTGAGCAAATACCAACGTATTTATT